GCGCAAGTTTTGTAAGAAATTGCAACAAAATATTGCGCTATTTTTTTATTGCGCTGATTCTGCTCCATACTGAAACTGATGTCTGGAGCCTTCAATGGATGGTATTGTTTGTTTACACATACAATTTCACTATTTTGTTGCAATTTCTTACAAAACTTTGCGCGCAAAAAGCAAATCTAGTATGAAAATCATCAAACTTCTAATGCTCGTAACTCAGTTCAGACTGAGTTTAGAGGTATACATGTCATAGTAAGTTTGGTTTATTACACTATTTTGTAATCAAAAAACAAAGTTTGGTCGATGGCCGCGCGAAAAAAAAAAGACGCCAATTTCCGGCATTGTCTTTTAAAGATATTGATATAGGAACTACAGTGCTTGTTGAAGTGCCTAAAGTAGACAGGGGGCCTCTGGACAGCAAAAATATAGTAGGCAAAATTTTAGAAAAAAGAAATGAACTGTTCAGAGTTGGCACTCCTTTTGGAATTATTAGTGACTGGATTCCAAGAAACGCTGTCCTCTCTTCACCAAATACGGTTATATCTGGTGATATTCCACAGGTAAGAATATTATGTAGTAGTTATTTTCAATACCAGAAATTCAAGACAAAAATTCAACTCTGACTTTTTGAGTTTGTTGTTTCATTTGAAATCATTTTCTTTCTTACAGATAACATTGCCATTGAGAACCATAGCAGCTAAATGTTCGTCATTCGGTGGGCAAGGAATAAAACAATGCAATTGCAAAGACTTTAAAAATAAACAATGTGTAAGTAACAGGTGTAATTGCAAAAAAGCCAAAGTTTTGTGTAACTCTAGATGCCATAAATCATTAACATGTAGTAATAAGTAAAATACAAATACGATTAATATTAGATATTCAGACTGTACTGACTGATTAAACTGATTATAATACGTATTATTAATATAACTTACAATAATAAAAGCTCCAATATATTTTTTTAAACATTTTTCATTTATTATTTAACTATATAGCATAGACGAACTTTAATATTCCTATCTCTAAAATATAAATATTAAAACAACATATCTAGGTGTTTGTAACTCTATGAATAAACACTTGCTAAATGCTTACAATTCATGCTGTCGACCAATCAGAGAAAAGTGTATTAAGTGACGGATAATAGTGTACCGTCAAATAGTACACTGGGCAACGATTGGCCCATTTGTGGATGATTTTACTTGTAGCAATATAGTTAATTATTAAATTACGGCTAGGTACCGTAAGTTGACCAATTAACTGAAATTCAATGCGTTAAATAGTACATTTCAACTGCCGTTTATTATTTTCCGAGAGTTGATCAACTACCTAGAAAATTGATCAACTTACGAGTCTTGTTATTTTCCGGTGACACATATACCTAACCTAATATAAGCTTCCGATATCTTTTCTTTTCCTACCCACTCAATGAGTTTATTATACTGAATAAATGTGAACCGATCACTGCATGTACCCTGCCAGGGCCACTCTCTGGGGTTGCATGTAGGTGATTTTGGTTGATATGCACCGAGCCAAGGCTACTCCTTGGGGGTGCATATACCTGATAAGCTTNTGGGCCTATAGGGAACACGTGCGAGTGGACACTAACACTAATTATAATCACTGATTATAAACGACTAACTTTACTATAGACTAGAATGTAAAGACTGGTTCGTAATTTAATCAATATTGTCCACAGTTAAATTTAACAGAAAGATCAAAGTTACTGAATTACTTTACCAAAGCTAGAGACGCCTAAATTAAATAGATTGGGAGCGATTGACGAATTTGTGAACCACGCCCAGTCACCACCACGTCCAAAACCCGAATGTGCAATGACTCTAAGACTGAGTCCCAGAATCTCCACGTTTCAGGGCTCTGTACCTGAAGTTTTTGTAAAGCTATTAATCCATCAATACTGCACTTGAACGGGTTCACAACTACGTCAGGCAACATGGAGATTTATGTCACCTTCGTTCCCAGGCGCGCACTTAACTCTGGCATAAGAGCTTTGGCGCTGCTTAAAATTCCATAGCAATAAACTAGCTAACACATTGAAAGTGTTGTGAGAACTATAACATTAAGTTATTTAATTTATTGCGCCCCGCGCGCCGACATACATATAGATATCTTGTATGAAAATAAAGAAAAAAATTTAAATGATGATATGCCCATGTTAACATGGGCTCATATACCCATTTACCTAACACCCTGTATAATTATAGAACATTATTTGATACAATAATAAGTAGATTTCAAGCCTTAGAGACATACTTAATCCAATATGAAAACACAACGACCTCAAATGCCTTCCAAAATTGACGTTCCTTGGGCCAAACACGAAACATGACAATGAACTAATTGAACGGTTTATCAACTGTTTGTTAATTTACTTTACACTTAAAGCTCTTCAGTCTTATTAGAACCGAATAGAATCTACAATCGAGTGGCTGCTGTGGAAATTGAAACGTCGTCAATTAAAATGTACAAGATATTGTATTAACTTCGCGATGTTTGTGGCGATATCTCAACGTTTTTATCGGAGTAGGGTTACCAGGCTTTGGCCGGACATGTTTGGATTTTTACATAGATATGTGTCCGACTGAAATCTTGTCCGGTCTGTCCGGTCTGTCCGGCTTTTGTAAGGCTGTGTTGTATGACCTTACTTTAACGGTAACTATAACCTTATTCGGGTGTTTCTGTATGGAGTTTGACGATTTTTGACGTTTGTCAAAGTTAAAGTAAGATGGTGCAACCCAGCCTTAGGATTTTGATGTGCTAACTTTTGAATAACGCAGTAGGCACTGGCTAACATAAATACCTATTGTTCCATGTAGGCATTGCTTGATTAACCCATAAGCATTTAGGGCATCGAGTAACTGTACGCCCATGAATGTCTGGCTTTTAGGGTAAAATATTATCTGTCCAGATTATAGTTCATTCAACTTATGATGGTGATTTAGACAGATAAAACGTTTCGTTTTATGATTCTAACTTTCTACGAATAAAAATATTGAGTTGTAAAAATCAATTACTTTTGTGTGTTTTCATCCTTCCAAAATATCAATCACTAATCTTTCTCAATTAACCTAAACAAGAATTTCTAATTATTTATTAGTTTATTATTTAGAAAAAATTGTGAAAAAATATTAAATGAATTGCTTCTGCGTTAGTCGGAACTTTTGGGACATAAACAATCGCAATAAATCAGTAATCGGCATGGTAGTCATCTTACCATCGAATCACGATTATTATCTCAGGCAGGTCAAAGCTAAGTCAGTACGTGTGCGTTTGCCTTTGATGACGGTTTTGTTTTATGCGATTTCTCCACGTATTGTTTGTTATTGTTATTTTGATGTTTTATTGAATAAAATGCATATATTTAATTCTTTGTGATTTATTTTGTACCACTAAGAATATTCACGTTTATTCCATTTCCAGATAGTTCAAATTCATAGATATAATTTTGATCAAGATTAAAAATCAAACAAATAAAGGGCGATTAGATTTCTATAGAAAATATTCTCGATTCTAAAAAATATCGATTAGGTTTATAAGGAGCGCCTCACTAAATAGAACTGTCATAATCACCATCTTACGCTGAATGGACTATAAGAATCCTGTCCGGCTTTTGTGTTTTTTGACTTGGCAACCCTATCGGAGGCAGACAGGCTAAACGCTCTAATAGATACTAAACGTTATTGTTTTGGGAGGAAAGGAAAATTCTACCAGTTGAGGGTTTAATTTGGCAATTTTATGTTGAATTTTATGTAGGTACCTACCTGACCTCCGATCTACGTCTATACGTAATATTATAGAACTTTTCCGATGAAAATGTATGGATAATTTATTGAAAACTCATTTTTCCAAACACATACAAATACAGAGAGCTATTTACGCAGATTCAAGAGCACGATTTATTAAGGAAATGTTATAAAAGTTATTATTTTAGATGCACAAAACTGCATTTAAAAAGTGGTTCTTTACTAAAATCGACTGAAATTTTCAACCAACCCACAACGTGGACCAATGATCTCATAAAGGCGCTGAATGCAGGCTGCTACAAACCGGGCGATGTAGAAATCATTTTTTTAATTTTTTTTTATTGTTTTTATTTACACTTTTGTACAGTGGCGGACTTAATGCCAGGTGGTATTATCTGCCAGTCAACCACAGGTCGAGTAGAGAGACTAAGGCGGTGTAATAAATATGACGTTTAATTAATTATACTTACATAGCATTAGATAAAATAAATAACATAAGAATACATATTAATATACATATACATACACCTAGATACATAAACATAATAATAATATTGGCGTACACATAACACATGTCAGAGATAAGAAAAAAAAATCATTGGGGGAGGCCTATGTTCAGCAGTGGACGTCCTGTGACTGAAATGATGAAAAATGATTACATAGTTACTTAAACTTTAGTCTGAAACGTGTACTTCTACTCACGAAAGTTGAGAGACAAACCTATAATAAGTCTAGAATAGGTAGGTACAGTCGACAGCACATGAGACTACACAACTTTATTCAAAGTCAAAGTCAAAGTCAAAATTTCTTTATTTGTTTAGACTAATAAATAGTTCTTACAAATCGTCATTTTGCTCTTAAGGAGCCTCTACATGTCTCATAATCTTTTTACCCTACCAGCGCTTCGAGACCAACATTTGGCAAGTGCTGAGAAGAAGCGCCGCAGCAAACTCAGTCACCACTGTCTGCCGGTTAATATAAATAAATAGAAATAGTAGTAGTAGGTACATTCGATATTAAAAACTCGTACTTAAAAACAACTACAAAAAATTCTACAATTTTAAGCTTGAAGTCGTCTCTACATTTAAAACATACATCCAAAAGTTACTCACGAATAAAATTCGAAAAATCTCTTTATAAATATCAAAACATGAAGGATCAAAGGTATGTTTTAATACTTAATCTAATTAATTAATGTTTTTAGGAGAGGCAAAGATTAGAAACGGAGGCGGCGGTCGACGTGGACGAAATGAAGAAACTCGGGGACGTCGTGGATTATGACCGGATACATATTCAGAAGTATGTTGTTTTGTTAATTGATATAAATTATTGAATACCAGTCTTTCAGACGTGGATAATAAAATGAGGAAATATAAGGAAGCTTTTTGATACTTTTTACACCTTAAATAATTATAAAATGTCTTGTTAATTACATTTAAATCGTTTTAAAGTAATAGCAGCATTTTTTATAGTTTTCTTTCGCAATCTGTTGTATTGGGTGCTCGCAAATTTATTGAAACTAACACCCGTAATTCACGAACATTACTATGAGGTCTCACAGTGCGCGTGGATGCACAGTGTCACACACGAACCATTCCCAAGGTCTATGCAACGCAGTGCGTTCGATTTACTGCTTCACTTAAGCAAGCATCGTTTGTGAATACGGGCATAAGCTATTTAACCAATCAGCACTTAACTTTTAAATGCTATTTTTATTGTGAGACTAAAAGGGTTTGTATTACAGACTAATAATCAACAGAACAGAAGAGAAAGTGAGAGAGAAGTTCAAAGAAGAAGAAATAAGACTTTGACAAAGGAGAGAAAAGCTGAAGCGCTTTCTGGAAGCAGAAGAAGAACACTTCATTCAGGAATTGGCAACGAAACAGGCGATGGAAGAATGCGGGTATTGTGCAGAGAAGAAGGAGAAAACTAAGAATTATAAAGAAGATCTAGAGAAGAAGAAAATAAATGAGTGTTTGAAGGCTTTGGAAAGAGAAAAAATGTAAGTTAATTCAATAAAAAAAATTCTTCTCTGAAAACCAAAAGCTGAACCTACATAATCAAATAACGCATATAAAACAGACACAAGGCATTTCATAATAAAAATAAGAAAAAAATTATTTTACATACCTACAAGAACCATTAACACAATACAGTCACAGACATCAAAAGGTACTTCCGTACCAAAAAGCTTTGTTTTCGTTTCCGTAAGCTAGCAATTTAGATTTCCCGGTATTTGGTTCCCCGAGTATAAATTGAGAAACACGCATGTCCCGACACTGGTTTACAAGTGTCACAGCTTCTATTCTCTAATTGATTATAATCATCATCATTTCAGCCATAGGACGTCCACTGCTGAAAATAGGCCTTCCCCAATGTTTTCCACGATGACCGGTTAGTAACGGCCTGCATCTAGCGCCTTCCTGCTTTATGAGTATTCACTAAATACACATCGTGTAAACTAATTTTCAGAGCAAAAGGTATGCAGAGCACAAGAGAGGACGAAAAGCGGCTTAGAGAAGTACAGAAACAACAGATGATGGAGAAAAAGTTGTTGGAACTGGAAGAAGAAGACCGGGAGTACATGTGGCACCAGGTGTTGTTGGATGATGTTAGGAGGAAAGTAAGTCCTGGCCAGTAATGTCTTGCAAGCTAAAGTGAAACTTGACTAGTAAATTAGTCAGAGCATCAACTTCAGTATTTTACTCTTATTGTTTTGTTAACATTTCCAAGTGCATTCCGCACGGATACAATATTTAATAGTCATCCTAACAATCTCAATATCAAAGCCAAAAGTTACTCCTATTAAGAAATACCTAGTTATAGATATACTTGATCATATGTTTCTACTCTGCGTTTGCATAGAGCGAAAATAGCGCCATTTTTACAATAGTTGTGCACCTTAGAGAATTAAACCAATAATCCCTCTAGGTATGTTAAGCACTGTCTGAGAGTTGGGTTTTGGTTTAGGTTTATGCGAAAATTTGACTGATTTTATCATTATTATTCTATGCAACATTGATTGTTAGCGATTTTCATGCCTCCAATCAATTTCAATCTCTTGTGCAATCCTCAGCTATACTTACCAACTAGCAAATGGTATCACGCTGCTATACCCTAACAAACTTCACTTAAATTATGTGCATGGGGCGAATTTTATGGGTATAATAAATCCCCGTTTCATTCTTCGAGGTGACCCCTGAGGCACGTACTAGTATTTATTTACTGAAATGCCCCACGCAAGGGTTTCCAAACTTCCTGATTAAGGGCTTGGACATACGTTGGAATACACTTGAGACGACATAGACCTTGGACTAACAAACCATTTCTATTTCAAACGAGTTCCTATTTGACCGCAGAAATGGTTAGGAACCATGTGCAAGATTTTAAACATCTCGCACGTGTGTTTTTTTGAGTAAAACTTTAGGATTTGGCTAAATAGTGTAAATTTTACAAATCACAAGCTTCCAATCCAGTTTTGTTTCATAAAACCAACCTCATGGCATAGATTGTAACATTTGGGTGTGGTGGAACTACTCTGATCATAAAGAGGCAGAAATGGTCATAGGAACTTTGTAATTTTAATGCATGGTAAGATTCTACAAGTTGACCTCGCTTTTTGCTTTGAAAGAAAACTACATCTTTAATGGTTGCTATTACGTCAGCACTTACCACACCACCTCTAGGTGTCCCGCAAGGCACAGTTCTTACACCGTTATTATACCTCATTTACATGATCATTATCTTTAGTATAATTAGCTCATTGTTCCTTTTGTCAGGAATATGCATTGAAATTAACAGAACAATAACAGCAGGCATTTAATTGTTCGCAATATTTACTGAATTTACATTTCCAGACTGAACAATGTTTATAGTAAATTACTGGAGGGAGAAGATTGTTATAGTAATACCACAGAATAATAGCTAGTACTTAGTATACCACGACTTTTTTAAAGAAAAGCTTTAGGTCATCAGCTTTTAAATTGTAGGTATTTTTCATTTCAACAGATGTAGGTATATTAGGTATGACTAGACGAGACATTCATAGTGTACAGACGACGGCACGTCAAGGTAACCACTGTGGGTTCTTGTGCAGTTTGTAAGGGGCGAGTTTGCAACAAAAATGTGTAGCCTGATGTGCTGTCGTGTGAACAAGAGGTGGTCTTCTTCTCTCTTGGATCTTCTATATTCGCAGCTCGCTGTGTTGCAATCGCCTAGCAATTTGTTTCTTCTTCTTCGTTGCTACACTCTTAGAGTGGTCGTGGTCGTCTCACCTGGTCCAGTGGCAAGCCTCTTTGTTTACTTGATCTGAATTATTTATTTAAAGGAAGAACATGAAAGAATAGAAGCAGATAGACGTCACCAAGAAATGCTGGACCGCAGGAGAGCGTACGACGAGCAGATAGCGAGCGCGAACAGAAAGAGACGGCAGGCGCTTCGCGAGGAGAGGGAGAGAGAGCGCCGCCGGCTGGAAAGAATGAGAGAGAAGATGGACCAGGATCATTATGATGGTAGGACGTTAATCATCATCATTTCAGCCATAGGACGTCCACTGCTGAACATAGGCCATGATTTCCATGTTGACCGGTTAGTAGCGTCCAGCGCCTTCCTGCTACCTTTATGATGTCGTCGGTCCACCTCGTGGGTGAAAGTCTCACGCTGCGTTTTCCGGTACGTGGCCTCCACTCCAGAACCTTGCTGCCCCATCGGACGTCAGTTCTGCGTTGGGGGAGGCCTATGTTCAGCAGTGGACGTATGGATGATGATGATGATTAATCTTAAGTTAAGAGCTGAGCTGAGCATTTTTCTTTAAGGAGCTCAATATTGTAACTCCTTAAGGACCTTAAGGTATCCTACCTTAAGTTAAGGTAGGATACACCAATAGTGTCATTTTTGCCAGTCATTCCCCAAAGGATTTAGCTCGAAACTTTGTCTTAGATAAGTATTTATTTTTACACGTTTTAGGACCGATTCAACCAAACTTTTGTCTGAGAATAACTCCTGGTTTAACTGGTACATTGACAATTTCAGTTTCAGTATGAGAAATATGTCAAAATGTCGAAAATGCCGATTTATTCTGAGAATAATATTAGTCTTGTTTGGTCGAATCAACCCTTATTAGAAAATAAATTTTAATTTACTCAAATGATAAGTTATATTGAACAATCTTATTGTATTTTTCTTCTTATTTTATTTACGCGATGGGAATCAGCAGGTGGTTAAAATTTCTATATCTGCCTAAGTATCGTGCACAGTTTATATTCTTGAATCTATTTTATTATTTCTTTTAAACTGGCACCATTGTTTCTTTACCACACTTTTGTACAGTCGTCAACAGAAACTTAAAATGTTTGTTACAAACTAAGTAGCATCAATTACAACTTACATAGCTTAAAGCTCCCACAATTTTCAACGTAATAGACCTTCTTTCAATCACATTTCCAGCCATCAAGCGCAAGAAAGACCTTCAGCAGACGAACAAAAAGAACTTCATAGAGGGTCACGACCTCAAGCTGGCTCGACTTAGGGAGGATAAGCAGAGGGAGTGGGAGTTGGACAACCACACCATACAGGTGGCGCTGGAGCAGCTTAGGCAGGAACGGATCAAGAGAAGAAATCAAGTGGTAAGTTGGAGGGGAATAAGTTTTTCTTCTTCTTAGTTACGAAAAATAGGCAAAATTAGGTCCTAAAAGGAAACAAAGACAGGTTTGTGTTGAAACAGATAGCCCCCTACCCTTTACAGCATCCCGTTCCCATCAGTTTTAAATCATTTCATTTTCAGGTTATTAAAATTAGTCTTACCAGTAGCAAACGATGGATTTGGCCCTCCATGATGGCCAGACGGGTTGTGGAGGCCTGATATTCGCATATTGTCCCTCCTGTCTTGGTGGAATGGACCTGGATGCTAACACCGCAGAACCGTTAGTTGTGGAAATCCTTTCAAAACCAAAACGGTATATTTAAATTGTAGTACGAGTAGGTCCTTGGGAGAAGCCTTTGAAATGAATGACCTGTAAATAATCTTGATATTCTCATTTGATTTCAGCTCAGCATGAGACTAGAAAAAGAACTTGGCACAGAAACCTTCTACCGTGAAAGAAGAATCGCTGAGCAACTAGAAGAAGAATCAGAGAAAATCGCTGAGGAATGGAAACGGGAGGAAGAGAACAAGACCGACGAGTTCTTGAGGCATGTGGAGAATGAGAGAAGAATTAGCAAAGAGGTGAGAATCAGTATTATAGGTTTTTTATATTGCTACCTACGGGAAAAATCGGTCCAACTAGCAGAACTCGTGAACTTTTCTATCCCAACAGCCACTGTAACTTAAGTTTGGAGGTAGCTTAGGTAGAGCAACGATCTGGTGAAAATCGTCGCGGGAAGCACGTGGATGCGGGTAGTGCAGGACAGGTCGTTGTGGGAGTCCTTGGGGGAGGCCTTTGTCCAGCAGTGGACGTGATTTAGCTGAAATGAATTATGGTCTGATGTGTAGGTACCTAATACAATTTTATTATTATTGTAGGTAAAGCCTGGTCCGTGAGCACATAGAATCCCGTCCAATGACCCCAAGCTACCCATCCTTATCGCTCGCGCGTAATTATATTGCTGTCGCGACTGTGCGACGCGCGCCCGTAGTGAGTGTGCGAGCGCGACAGCAACATAATTACGTGCGAGCGATAAGGACGCGACGAAGGGGTCATTGGACGGGATTCTACGTGCTCACGGACCAGGCTTTATCTTTGCCATAATGTATCCCGATATTGTTAACTCAACTGTACTTACACAGACAACCATTTAACGACCTCTCTTAAGTAGAATTACAGAGGTTTGTGGCTTCTTATAAATTCTCGAAAATCTATTTAATTACTTATTCTCAGTAGACGATTTTGAAAATTCCACCGCTACTCAGGTTTCGAGTAGAGCCATATTAAAACGTCGCTGAAATATTAATTAAACCTCGAAAGAGTAGATTCTATCTTGTGAATATGGTCCAAATTATGGGATAAATTCCCATAATTTGGACCAATCAAAAGCTTAGGCACTAATATTGAAAGAAATAGGTACTAATTTTGAGTTTAATTAAGATAAAATAACTACTTAATTCTCAATGATTTCTTACAAAATCAAAAATAATACTAGCTATTTACAGGCTATCTGGTCTAGGTAGGTACAATAAATCAACATTTTGTAACAAAAAATTGCAGCTATTCCTTTAAAACTAGGTACATAGATGGCCTTAGCTTGAAGTGCTATCGTCTGTAAATTACCGAACATAGTCTCGAGTTTTACAATACGAATCATCTTGCTGTCCATGTTGCTAATACTAATTTTCTTTTAGAAAGCCATACAAGAATACCAGAAGCACCTCCAAAACCTAAAAGAAGACATAGAAAAGACCAGGTTAGAACGGTCAGAACGCATGCAGCGCGTGTCAAGAACTGCTCATGAGGAACTTCAGAGGAAGATGGAGAGTGCCAATGAGGAGTTGAGGAAGCAGATCGAATTCAGGAACACTTTGAAGAACCAGATTAGGCAGAATCAGAAAGATTTGGTTAGTTTATGTTTGTCAATAAATAACATTATGGGCGTGACTTTAAGTAGGTTCAGTGTGCCTACCATGAGTTTACGTTAGGTGTTCTCGCTAGCGACTGCGTAAAAAAATGACATTTAAATGTATGACATATTGTGCAGCGCCCCTAGCGGCTACTTTTAAGAAATAAAATCTTCATAGAACTTTTTGACGTATTCGCTAGCGAGCTCACCTAACGTAAACTCATGGTAGGCACACTGAACTATGTAAGTAAGTAGGTAAGTAAGTTCATAATTGTGTCGCATAACTTCAAACTCGGATAAATCCACTCTACCCTGTTCGGAGATATTTAATAAAAAGTGTTTAAAGTCTTATTTTAATGAATTAAAAGGCAGTCTTTTTTTATTATGGCACTACTATTGAAGAAAATGATCCTGTTTATTCATTTCAGTATTTAAATCACGCATTCTCTCAAAAATTTAATATTTAGTTTGGATTTACCTTCATTTGATATAATGGAATGCAATTTATCCAACTTTGAAAAAACGCAATGAGGATTTATAGAGTTTTGATTTAATAGATTCGGATTTATCTAGTTATGAAAAAACACGATTAGAGCTAGGGATGTGGTAGTGACGAAATCGCGGTATACCATCGACAGTCAAATTTGTAGCAGCAAACTGAATAGAACAATAAAACAAAATAAGAAAATCTAGTTATTATTTTATAAAAAAAGAAAGTACCCAATTTAATTATTTTAAACAAAATTCAATATTTCTTCAGTCATCTTCTTCAATTTCTTCTTCGTGAATTGGTCGCCCTATCACATTTTCAATATTAAGCATTTTTTATAATACATATTTCAATTCCACCAACAATGACCATTATGCCCAATTGGCTAAAGTGCGTTTCCAGCCCCTAACTTAAAGGAAAAAAAAATGTTAGTTTATTATAAATCATTTAAATAGATCAATATTTTATTTCACATAATTACATTTACAAATTTATTATATTTAGCAAAAAACTGCAAAACATATCCAGACGACCCAACTCCACAAAGCATTCTTATATTCTAAAACTTACATGAACATACCTACACAAAATTGATCGGAGAAAGAAATGTACTCAATATTAGGTATATCATAAACATACTTATGTCCAAAATATTCTGTAACAATAGAAGGACAAAATAATAATCGAAAATGGTTAACACAACACTAGTGCCAACACTAAATTCCAAACGACGCACAGGGATAGGTATTTCAAATTTACCGAGTTTTCGCTTTTTCCTCTTTCCTAAGGCGAACTTTTATATTAAGCCGCTTGCGGGATTTAGTTGGTGACACAATTTTAATATAATTATCCATGAGAACTGTCTGAATATCGAAATAAACAATAAAAAGCGGGAGCGCATGGTGCCACTGGTCGCTGAGTTTTCGTCAACTGGCGGCCATGTTGAAGAAACGCAATTACCTGATTGGCTCTCATGGACTTAGCTACGTTTGAAAAAAAATGTCTCATGGATCTATCTCTCTTAGATAAAATATTACAACTTTAAGGGCTTATTTCTCAAGAACCACGCTGATTTATACACGACTGATAAAAATGTTTAAAACATATTTTTTTTCTCTTTGATTTGACACCAAAATCTCAAAAAATCTTAGAGTTGGATTTATCCGAGTTTGAAGTTAAGCGACACAATTAAGCAGGTACTACCATATAGTATAAACAGTAGATAGTTAAATAAATAACGCTTAATAGATTCAAATACTTACACTTAATATATTCAAAAATGACTTTGAAAAGCTAGTGTGTACTTATCCGAAAGTATGGCGCCAAAACTTCGACTAGGTACGCTATGTATAAGTCTACACTATGACTAGGCCTACTTAAATGTGTTACAAAACGTTAGTCCTATTTTGTGACCTTACGTGAAAAAAGGCAATAATAAGGTACCTCCCTAAGTAAATACACCTACTATTTTTTTTACAGGAAACCGATTTAATATCAACGGAGCAAAAAGACTGGCCGTTTTCACGAAAGTCTGAAATGTTTCACGACATGATGCAGAGCAGATACAGACAATCTTCAGCTAGAAAAAGGTATTTAGTCCTACTTTTTATCCAAATTACATAAATCCGTAACTGTTCTATAAATTGTTTTTACATTGTTTTCAGTACCAATCCTGTCCACCCATTCAAGAAGCTCATAGAAAAAGAGGATGGAAGAAAACCTACTGTCCAATTGCCCATCATAGGAATAAAATACAATAAATGAATAAGAATATAACAATTTATTTTTTATTTAAATGAAAAACCAGGTTACGGTTTTTCATTCTAAGCAGTTATACCAGCAATACCACTGCTGCCATCTAGTTGCTAAGAAAAATAAAGATACCGGCGAACAGCGCCATCTAGTTGCAAAGTAAATTAAATATACCTATGAACAGCGCCATCTAATTGCAAAGCAAAACAAACATACCTAGTTAACAGTGCCATCTAGTTCCAAAGCAAAACAAACAACATACCTAGTTAACAGTGCCATCTAGTTGCACGGCAAAACAACATCTAATTAACAGCGCCATCTAGTTCCAAAGCAAAACAAACAACATACCTAGCTAACAGCGCCATCTAGTTGCACGGCAAAACAACATCTAATTAACAGCGCCATCTAGTTCCAAAGAAAAACAAACAACATACCTAGTTAACAGCGCCATCTAGTTGCAAAGCTAAACGATCATACCTAGCTAACAGCGCCATCTATTGTAAAAGTAGGTCACTATGCAAACACGTTCCTATTCACTCAACTTACATTCTTCAACAATATTCATAAAACGCATTTTCTTTCATTTAACTTAAAAAAAAACAAAAATGAAATAATAAATGGAAAATTTCAGTGTAAAAATATTAATTTTAATTAGATTTGGAGTCGCAAGCTATTATTATGTAGTTGAAATGTTTTATTTCTAAAAGACCATTATGAGTTTTGTCGGAAACGGAACGTTATTTAAAAGTTTTTCAAATTCAATCGCACAATGAAAACAATTGAATTGAACGACTTTGGGTAAATTTTAATAAAAGAAAATCGAGAATTTGCGGTAGTTTAACATGATTATCATTTGTTTTTATTAATGAGGGTATACAGTATCAAGTTTTTACTAATAAATCGTGATTACCACTCTCTTTCGTAGGTAACTTGTCAGATGCACGTGCTTCCAATTTGTCGCCGTTGGAAAAGTTTACAAATATGACCGATTTATCGTTTTCCATGGATGATTTACGAGGCCGAACATACAGAGATCTTCAGCAACTAGCTAAATCTCTTGGATTGCCTTCTAATGTTAAGGTAAGTGAGAAACTTAGTAGGTGGTACTAAGTATTGATGAAAACTTTACTGAATTTAGCTTTTTTGAATTTAAAGAAATACAAAAGTAACATTGTAGTTATAGCAACATGATTAAGATACAAAAATATAATTTTCATTATTTCTACATGCCTCAAAAAGTTTTTGTAAACCAATATCTCAGTTCATGGACCTATCAGTGTAGATAATTGATACTCATAAGTTTTCTTTTGTACTCGGTCATCTCAGACGCTGATTCGCTACAAAATCATGAAAATAACATCGTCTTTGATAACACATTTTGCACATTAAATTTATGATGATGGTGGATGAATAATTATCTGAACAAATCTATAAATCTTAAATTTTTCAGAAAATATACCTAATCCAACTAATCCATGCCAAGAAGTACAGTACTCCAACTGAAGTGGAAGCCATAGTAGAGAGAGTGAAGCTGGAAAGGAAACAACAGGCGCAAGTGCGTAAACGGGTACCCAAGAAAGGGACGAAGAAAACAAACTTGCAAGTAGGTGGAAAATATGTCGTCTAAAATTAATACTAAGTCACATAGACTTTGTGGTAGTACCATCATTTTTTTATTGCCTGATATGTTACCTACTCATCTCCTAGTTGCTAAAACCGAATTCCGGTAATTTCAGCTGGAGATTAAAAAAAAACTCTGAATCTAGAAATCATAATTATAATTAGTTTCTTCTCTTGCAATTTGAGAACTGCTAGTATTTCTCCAGAAGGAAGTAGCTTAAATAAATTAATTTTAGTAACTACCACTTAAACTACATATCTACTACTAATTTTTTAGTAATACAGGCTACTTTGCAATAAAAATGTATATTCTGATGTGCTGTCAACTGTACAATAGCGAATTGATAATAAAAAAATCTTAAAATTGTATCATATTTTATTATTTAATTTGTTATAAATTCGCAACTGCTAAATTCCAGTTATCAGAAATATCATCGACCAGCAACTCCCAGTCTCCGCCAATCAGCCACACTCCAAAACGCCCGGGCCACATCATAGTCCCTTGCTCTGAAGTGCGCCACACTATCGTGAAATATCCACGACAGAGCATGATCAGATCTACGTACATCAAGAAAACTTATCCGTCACCGGTACCAACAACGAGTGACAGAGTTCTCCGCAGCTTCAGTCTAAAACCTAAGAATCAGAATTCCATTCTAAACGTCTTCAAAGAGGAGAACCCAACTAGTTTGAATGAAGCAAGAATGGATATAATTGGTGCACACAAAGTGTATCCGAGAGCGAGTGCAATAGCTAAATGTTTGGTGAAAAAGCAGAGGCCGCAGATGCAAAGCCGTAGTGCCAGTTTGGTGGAACGACTGAGAGGGCAATTGCTTCCAATGGCTAGGATGGTAAGATAAACTATTTACTTTGCTATTATTTTTATATCGTCATCATCTCAGCCATAGGACGTCCACTGCCGAACATAGGCCTCCCCAATGCTTTCCTGCTACCTTTATGATGTCGTCGGTCCATCTTATGGGTGGACGTCAAACGCTGCGTTTTCCGGTACGCGTGCCCTGCCCATTGCCACTTTAGCTTGCTAATACGTTGGGCTATGTTATCGATTTTAGTTCGTTTACGGATCTCCTCATTTCTGATTCGATCTCGTAAAGAAACATCATAGCCCTCTCCATAGCACGCTGTGCAACTTTGAGCTTCTGTATAAGGCTTTTAATGAGAATTTTTATATGATCCGATATATTATTACAGTTTCCATTTTCCAGGGTTGTGTTCTGTTAAAAAGTGAAAATCTCAACAAGCTAAATACCATGTCATTTTATGTAGTCTTAATAAGATCTATTTAAAAAATTGTAGTCTGATGTGCTATTGACTATACAAAACTAATTTATCAATCCACAGCAAAATTACACTATTGATAAAATAAATCTACACTAATATAAAGAGGAAAACTTTGTTTGTTTGGTTGTAATGAATAGACTCAAAAACTACTGGACCGTTTTTAAAAAATCTTTCACCATTCGAAAGCTACATTATCCACGAGTATAGGCTACATTTTATTTTGGAAAAAAATGTAGTTCACGCGGGCGAAGCCGCGGGCGGGAAGCTAGTACAAAATAAAGTAAATATAGCTAGTTGCGCGCAATATTGTTAATTTACAAGTACATTATCGTTTTATTTCTAGAATTCATGCCCTCTCCCGGCCCGTCGTCAGCGAGTATTAAGCGGTATATACCCGATCACCGCAAAAGTAACGAAAGACACTTCAAAAGTCAACTACGAGTACATCCAAAGCGTCGGCTTCCGCAGAAGTGACGGCACAGTCTCCCGCATCAACGCACTCGTACAAAAGTCCTGCAACGAACAACCAAGAAACTTAGAAGTCACTGTTCAAGACTTAATCAACTCAAACGTTGATTCCCAGCAAGCGCAAAGTCTTGAATACCCTAACATGTCGAGTGTAACCGATTATAGTCAGAATTACCAGAGGCAGAGAACTCAATTTGAAATGCCAGATAGGAGTTACCCGAACCAGTGTATTGATGATTCGGTGTACTACCATAAGAAGATTCGGGCGGAGCAAGTCAGGTCTCAGAGGCCAAGTGTGAGGGAAGAGAGATGCAAAGAGAAGTTACCGAACATTAACGAAGTGTTTACGAGGTTTAACGATGTGCAGAGAAGAGATCTCACTCAACCGATCTACGTTCAAGTCAGCGATGAGTCTGAGAGGAGTGAGTATTTTTCTTTATTTAATTTTGTAAGTAATGTCACAGAATAATAATAAGTACTACAGTAATGTTTGTGATTATTTGGCTGTGTGGTTTCTCTAGAATAGGACAAAGCACACATTCTGTAAGAAGCACACTTATCAACCCGGAAACGGATCGTAATCGTATCGACTCGAGACGGTAAGTAAGTATCTTTATATGAAACTACTACAACGCACACTTATCCGCACTGTAACGTAAACGTTTCACCTTGCAGCGAATGGCGATACAGTGTTGACTCCTTTCCGGGTAGATAAGTGTGCTATGACTTTAAATCAGTCTGGTAACCGAAAAAAAACTTTGCTTACTCATTGTTTGGGACTGGATGGAACAGTGCTTAATATGCAACAATATTATTACTAGCGCCCGCGTCGTCTTCATACGCGTGGACCCTGTTTTACCCTCTTAGGGGTGGAGTTTCGTAAAATCCATTCTTAGCGGATGTCTACACCCTAAAACGAACCTACCTGCCAAAATTTCAAGTTTGTAGCTATGTTTGTAAGATACATTAGGCACTTATTTGCCAGTGTATGGATGGCACTGTTGCAAGTGCCATGATCACTCTGTGTCAATCACAGTTACTCCGTGATCATGGCGTTTGCAACAGTGCCGAAATATTGGAGACTCCAGGAGACTCGAAATTAAGGGATATGGTAGCAATCCCGTCAATCTATATTACTAACATTATAGAGCTGAAGAGTTTGTTTGTTTGTTTACTTGAACGCGCTTATCTCAGGAACTACCGGTCTCATTTGATAAATTCTTTCAGTGTTAGACAGCCCATTTATTGAGGAAGGCTATAGGCTATATATCATCACGCTACGAGTAATAGCTACCAACCGTGCGATGTGGAAGTCATTGGGGGAGGCCTATGTTCAGCAGTGGACGTCCTGTGGCTGAAATGATGATGATGATGATGACGAGTAATAGGTGCAGAGCAAAAATGAAAAATATTGCGAAAACGGGTTTTCACGCGTACGAGGTCGCGGGCACAGCTAGTAATTAATATAATTATTATTCTACTTATTTTTCAGTCCTTAACTACCCAGTGTACATGGCTCGCAACAGTACCAATCTGCTGGAGAACCTGTACAACTTCAAGCGCGGCTTCCTAGTCCACCAGCCGCTTCTACAAGTAGCCACCGCGGCTTCCACCAGATGCGTGTATAGCACGCCCGTTATAGCCTCCGCGTAAGTTTGCACCTTAATGTAAAGGCGTTAGAGACTAGAGTTGATTTTCTAGCGATATTCCCACGGCTGCTACCTGTGTATAGTCTGGTCTGTGAGCACGTAGAATCCCGTCCAATGACCCCAAGCTGCCCATCCTTATTGCTCGCGCGTAATTATGTTGCTATCGCGCTCGCACACTCACTGAGGGCGCGCGTCGCACAGTCGCGACAGCAATATAATTACGCGCGAGCGATATGGATGGGTAGCTTGGGGTCATTGGACAAAATTCTACGTGCTCACGGACCAGGCTATAGTTCCCACCGCTGCCGCCACCAGATGCGTGTATAGCACGCCTGATAGCCTTCGCGTAAGTTTGCACCTTAATGTAAAAGCTTTAGGGACTAGAGTCAATTGATAGTCCAGTGATGGTGTGGTATCTACGACGCGCCACTACAATCTAGTGACAGTCAACACCAACAGATGGCGCTGACTCCTACTTACTACGGCACACTCCACCGCGCCTACAATCCTGGATCGCGGTGTCGGAGTTTTTTACCCTGCCAAGTATAATAATTATGTATAGGAAAACCGAGATGGTGTCAACTGGACCTTGGTCCTCGATTATAACACCCGCTCGGAAGAAAGCAGAAAATAGAACGCATAGCGTTGAATAGAGCTCTCTGATTGGTTCGTGTGTCACCCTGTGCGTCCACGTGCACTGTGAGACCTCATAGTAGATAAGTGGTAGTATCGCAACAGTACCAACTTACTGGAGAGCCTGTTCAACTTCAAGCGCGGCTTCCTGGTGCACCAGCCGCTGCTACAAGTAGCCACCGCGGCTTCCACCAGATGCGTGTATAGCACGCCTGTTATAGCCTCCGCGTAAGTTTGCACCTTAATGTAAAGGCGTTAGAGACTTAGAGTTGATTTTCTAGCGATATTCCCACGGCTGCAACTCCTGTGTATAATCTGGTCCGTGAGCACGTAGAATTTTGTCCAATGATCCCAAGCTGCCCATCCTTGTTGCTCGCGCGTAATTATGTTGCTATCGCGCTCGCACACTCACTGCGGGTGCCAGTCGCACAGTCGCGACAGCAATATAATTACGCGCGAGCGATAAGGATGGATAGCTTGGGGTCATTGGACAAAATTCTACGTGCTCACGGACCAGACTATAGTTCCCACCGCCGCCAACACCGTGTATAGCACGCCTGTTATAGCCTCCGCGTAAGTTTGCACCTTAATGTAAAGGCTTTAGGGACTAGAATTGATTGAGTCTAGCGATACTCCCACCTCTAGTTCCCACCGCTGCCGCCACCAGATGCGTGTATAGCACGCCTGTTATAGCCTCCGCGTAAGTTTGTTTAACACTTATAAAACGTACTTAAACACCTCCACCTATCGTTATTGGGACGTATAAAGCCTGGTCCGTGAGCACGTAGAATCCCGTCCAATGACCCCAAGCTACCCATCCTTATCGCTCGCGCGTAATTATGTTGCTATCGCGCTCGCACACTTACTGCGGGCGCTTGTCGCACAGTCGCGACAGCAATATAATTACGCGCGAGCGATAAGGATGGGTAGCTTGGGGTCATTGGACAAAATTCTACGTGCTCACGGACCAGACTATAGTTCCCACCGCCGCCGCCACCAGATGCGTAAGTTACTTTAACACTTATAAAACACATTTAAACACCTCCATCGACCATCAGTATCACCTAGAGATCACCTCATCCATTGGTGATCAAAGAACACCAAAGTGTCGCCTATGATCATCTGGGTGATTTAATCCAATCCAAGTGATCAAAGTGGAATAGACCATACTATCGACACTTCTGTAAGTGGCCGCCACGACTACCAGATGCGTATTGCTTCCGCGTAAGTTTTGTGTTTTATACGTTTGTGACTAGACTTGATTGATAGTCCAGCCATAGTCTAACTATCGATAGAAATATCTATAGTATAATACAGGGTGACTGGAACTGAACCCGCCATAGCTAATACGCGTATAGAAGGAGGTCATTTGCTAATTATTGAACCTTACTTTCTACGACTAAAGTTTTATAGTTTAGGAGATATGTCAATTTTCCGAAATTTTGCAGAATTTCAGTTTATGGAAGAAAATGTGAGAAAAAAAGTTAAGCAGTTTTTAGGTCAAATTTCGGAAAAATCTGAAAAAAGTATAAAAATTGACATATTATCTCCTAAACTATAAAACTTTAGTCGTAGAAAGTAAGGTTCAATAATTACCTCCTCTATACGCGTATTAGCTATGGCGGGTTCAGTTCCAGTCACCCTGTATAATAAGTTTGTGACTAAAGATGTCGATAATCCAACTGTTGACAGCTGCAAGCCTGACTACCTATCGATAGAACAACGTAAAGTGTGGTTATATTGCAATACTATCGCCACTGCTTCAAACGGCCACCACTACATATACCAGATCCGTATACTGCACGCAACTTTTGTTATTATTATTTATAGACTAATTTCGTTTTAATTTTCTTCTTAATACCTCTTTTTTTCTTTTAAAACTTCCCATATTAGCCTTTACTCATTTCTATTTAAAAGTTCTGCATACTATGTACAGTCAGCGTCAAATAATTCGTGACACCCAAAGTAGCCAAAAAGTTGATAACAAAACCTTATTCCAATGTAACAAAGACGTGTTTGGAACTTGCTACTTTAAGTGTCACGAACTGTTTGACGCTGACTGTGCTTAACAATCTACAGCAGGGGTGGCCAACTTTGTTAGACATAAAATCTACTGTTTACTAACGAAACCCTGGGTGATCTATCACTTACATTACTTCTTGAAATAATGAAACAGCATAGTTTAGTACACATTCATGTAGTAATTTTTGCCTTGACTTTCGTCAACGTAGTGCGCACTCGCTGAAATAATATTTTGTATGCCTATGTTTCTGAAAGTGTTGTGAATGCTTATACTAAAACGTTTGTTTTTATTTGTATAGAGAACAATTAAATAGTGTCTAGACAAACCTAAAGAGGATTTAAGACACTATTTAAATCAAATATGTAATTGCTCAATAATGAATAATAAATAATAAAATAAATAAAATAGTCGCGATCGACCGGTTGGCCACCCCTTATCTACAGCATCGCATGGTGTGTGTTCATAATTATTTTCAGAATTTTTTTGTATTTTTTCCATTTTAACCCTTCATTACATATGAGTAAGCTTCAATATCGCTTACCGCTTGCACGCGCTTACAGAGTGGCGCACACCTCCTCGCTTGGTCCCGATTACAATGCATCTTGTAAGTCACCACTCGCTTTCTCTTTCTTTTTAATAGGAACTGATTCTAAAACTTTATCGTCAGCAAGTAAATAAAACTTTATACAGCATGTAATCTAAACTTCTATACTTATTACTAGCGGCCGCCCGCGACTTCGTACGCGTGGATCCCGTTTTACCCCCTTCATCTATCTTACGCGGTTTAGANCTTAAAATTCCATAGCAATAAATTAGCTAACACATCCAAAGTGTTGTGAGAACTATAACATTAAGTTATTTAATTTATTGCGCCCCGCGCGCCGACATATAGATATCATGAAGTATTTTGACAATCAGAGAGATTTTTTAAATGCATTTGAAAAATGCAATCAATTTTTACATATACAAGTAGGTACAAGATTTTTATAATAATTATTATATTTACTGGGTAGGTAAGATGTAGGTAAACACTTCATGGTTAGGAATAATATCCTCATAGCTAAACAAAACAGCCCAACATTGAATTTTAAACAAGTTTCGTTGTATCGTAGAGTTGAGATTAAGAGAAAAGTTTCACTTGGCAAAAATTAAAAAGTGTGCAACATTATTTCAAACAGACAGCGCGAGCCAGAGAATTGCTATTTTTAGTTTTTTATCAAAGAACAAGTCATCCTCAGAGGCCCATTATCCACTTACAGTCTTGCGTTTTATCGCCTACCATCACGTTACGCAGCAATATTCGCCATTTTAAATTATGTATGGAGCAGCCAAACGGCTGTATCGCCCCATTTCCATTCGTTCTGGCACGAGGTGGAGCCACTGAGGCCGCTTGGCAGGGTCACGGGGTAAGAGAAAAAGAACAGCGGGCTGCGGTAAGAGGCGGCTCGCTGACGGTGGGGCAAGCCATAAGCGACAGCGATAAGAAACCATACAGACAGCTCAATGCTTTTTAATAAAAATGTCACTGAAATTAAAGAGGCTAGATATGAATAGAAATAAAACCATAAAATGTAGTTCAATTGCTCTTGAATATAAGCCCGCGTGGGCCGCGTTGTAAAGAAATATGGCACACCCACCTACTTAGAAATATGCCATTATGCTGTAAGTATTCTGTAAGATTCTTTTTATAACATTTTAAGCTTTCGCATTCTATTGCTATTAAGAAATGTCGTGTCTAAACTAAAAAGAGATGTGCCTGTGATTCTCTACATCTTTTTTTGTATCGCACTCGGAAGGCAATCCATTAAAATATTGTCATGAAGAAGATGTCAGGCAATTTAATTTTTAACTATCAAATCACAAGCAATTAACAAGTCTAGCTAGAGGAACGAAGCGGAATGAACCCGCTCCCAGCTCAATCTTACGCTTATAAGCAAGACACCACCCAAAGTCCCAATTCGAAACCTAACTGCAGTATTTGGCACACTCGCGTGTAAGAAGCAAGCCGGGGCATAAAATAACACGGCATATTTATTGCCCCCGATGTGCCCCGCCCAAGGTCCCATTCATTGAAAAGACAAACATGTTTATAGCTCACCAGTTAGACAGGTTGTATTTCATATCCGTCTACAGGGTGTTGATTTCAATCCTCGCCATATTATTATTTATTTAGGTGATCTGTTATGAGTCATATAAACGCATTATCCACCAAAAAAAATTACAAACGAAAGTGGAACTTTTAGCGAATATTTTCCGTGCGAAATCAACTGTACTGTGGCTCGCAATATTGCAATAGTTTACACTGCGGCACCCATCGAGCTACGCGGATCGCTCGCTTATCATATCGGATAACCTACTGAAGGAAGCCACGTAAATAAAGTACGAGTAGGTAGTGTAAAAGGTATTTTTCTATGACTACCTAAAGTTAAAGTTCGTTTTAAATGTTTGCGAAGTAATTTTTTTTATTGATTCGTGATCAGAATAAGCTACTTAATCAACTTCCTAAATATGGCGAGGATTGAAATCAACACCCTGTATAACATTTTGTGTTATTAGACGTGATGTTGCTTGCATCTCTTCATTGGCAGATCTGTCGTAAAACAAATAAGACAATATCGTGGTAGCGGAGCTTGTCTTATAGGGGCTCGTAATAAAAGCATTTTATAACTCGACTACAAAAACAATATTGCTTAATTATTCAAGTAATAACTTTGTCCAATGACACTACAATAATACTGGACAAAAAGAAAATATAAATCATTTTCTCTAATTACTTCGAAAAGAAAATAATAATTGCAGTCCGATGACCTGGCCGCTCTAGATTATGAAAGAAATAAATGAGTATTGACTCTATGAATCTACATTTATTTTGCCTAGTCATCACAACTTACTACCTATTTTCCTTCAAACTTCTAATAAATCAGGTCCCCGACTTGCGGTGAAATCACAATTATTTCTTTCAAGACTTTTATATTCTGAGACCTGCTAACGGTCTGTGGGTGACATTTTCAGTGCACTTTTAGCTGGTACGTGGAGCATACATTAAAAGCGTTTTGTGGGATACTAAAATTTGACTCGATAGTCTCTGAATTTCACAGTTTTTATGTACCTATTAATAATGAAACCACCTCATTATTTTAGCGGTAGAAATGCGAAATCGCATGCATACCTTAAAAATAGAAATACTGGTACGACACTGAGAATTTTAGAGTGATTAAGGCTAGAAAGTCAGTGCTGATTAGGTCTCATTTATAATCTGAAAAATAGCTTTGTTTGAAAATAATCTAATAGGTTTTACATTATGAAGAACCTTATGTAGTAAGTGTTAAGGTTTCTGTGAACTGAAATATGCATTTCATATTATTTTAGCTCACAATCACTCCCAACATAAAATAAACCACGCGCTATGTTTTCAATGAACATAACGAGCATATGGGGCTCGGATTTAATGCACGATTTTGTTGAGACTCAAAATTTCTAGCTAAATGAGCACTCAGCGAGCTGCGTACCTACATTCATACCTCTGAGCCACAGCCTACGAAAATTCCCAACAAACTTTTTGTATACTGGCTATTTTGGTAGATTTGAACCACGCTCTGTGTTAATCTGTGGTCCATGATAAGATAGTATGTAAACGTATATAATCGCTTCATATCGTGTCTTCCCGTCGATTAAGCGCGCAAATGACGCGTCGGTGAGTATTGTGTGCGAGGGGGACAGAGATAGAGGTGAAGAATGGCCGATATAAATGGCAATCGAAACGGACGATTTGTTTTTGTTAAGGGAGAGACGCATTTTTCGAGAATTTTCGCTGAAAAGCTCAATCAGCTATCAAAATAATGCCATAGATGGGGCTTGCGATTGATGTAAGTAACTAAATGACAATTTCTTCACTTGAAAGTCAGTCGCTAGAGTAAATATCTAACTTAATTTGAAATAAAACTAATAAACGCCACTGGCTACAGATTTAAATTTGTTTAAATGCTTGAACTTGGAGTAAGATTACAGAATCTAAAACTACGAACAATGTTACGGAGGCGCCTCTCAAAAAACAATTTAGAAAATCTAGCTTCTTCCGGTCAAGCATAGATACTCTTTTTCATTTAAATATTTTCATTTCAAAATATTTTTTTGGGGTACAACATAAAATATAAATACTTAGAAAAAATAAATAGCTAGATACTTTATAAAGAAACATGAATGAGTTTTAGGGTCATTTACATTCATTGCACCAAATCGCCATCAGGCCATCGAGAGCTGTCCAATACTAAACAATATTTCTTTCAGCAAAACAAAGTAACGTTGCTCTATTTCATTCCTGACCTTAACTGCCCCGATTTCCCGAGTCAGACATCGGAAGCGATCACTTAATGCCGTCACTTCTTTACATCGCATTAATAATAAAATAATAGCTTTTGTTTATTGCTGGACCCTCGCTCTTGACAGCTCATCTTTAATAAAGGAAATGTTGTTGATAGAACCTTTCAGACGTCGCCCGTTTTATAATTATTATTATTTCGTACAACAAGTGAACGTCTTTGAAGTGACAAGTGATTTTGAGACCTTAATTACGATTACAATTAGGAAAAGTAAAATAAAGGAAAAGTCAGAACCTATTACAGAATGAATTTTCGTTTAAACACATTTAAATTACATAATGATTTAAGAGTGATTGACAGTTTTTCGATTAAAGCTGTTAGTAATTAGATTTACTAATTATAAACTGTCGTATATAGCAGTTAATTAATATAAAGGAGTAATTTATGTAAAGGATTTGATTACCTGTTTTCTAATCTTACAAGAACCGCTTAGGTACTTTGTTGTTATAGGTAGGTACATAATGATAATTACTTAAAATGGTCGAAATTATTATTAAGGCATGGTGGCATAACAAGTGTATAAATTATTTTTCTTTCTTTCTTTTCTTTACATTTTTCATTAGACAATGACTCAAGGATTCAAGTAAGGTTGAAAAAGACCTGGAAAAATAGTTGGAATTGAACTTAAAACTTATTTAGCATTCAAAGTCTGAAAAGTAAATGTCAACCTCTTTATTCCATTCCGTCAGTCTGGAAACTTGGAACGATAAATATTCACTTTGTAAGAAGTTTTTGTTTAAACTGACTGCACTGTGAATGTGTGGGCGTCGGTAGTAAATAGCTCCCAGATATTGATACCTAAGTTACCGTGAAATTACTTGACTAAGTTGGAAAAATCTTTGAATTTTGATCCGATCAGAGATCAGTGGGATTTTCCCATCCATGGGGCTATTCGGCTCAGCTATGGTTTGTTGTGAATTTGGATACTGAAGAGGGCAAATGGTTGTGTGATTATCACAAACGAAAGTCGAATGAAAAATAATACTGTATTTTACTAGCTAGTAATAATAACCTTGCAGACTATTTCAGTAAGTCGGGCGACTACTGTGAATATAATTCCACGAACCTCCGCTCCACTTCATCAGGCATTTTATATCGAAGAGTTCATTTCGCAGAAATAATGCCGAGCGATGAAATATTCCATGGCATAAATTCCTAAATTCATTGAACCGTTAGTTCGTCACGTGCTGTTCCTTACACATCTCATAGACAATCCAATAATAGA